TGCTTTTGTTTCCTATGCGAGTGACATGTAATCCTTAGGTGTTCATGATTAATTTTAGAGTCTGTCCTGAAAATGGAAGTCATTAACTTGGCAGAGGCGCCCTCACATCCCTTACAAATGTGGTGTGGTATTAATTTCTTACCCACGTGGCAGAACGGTAAATGGTAAATGTAGGAGAGAGGCAATCATGGGGAATTATGAGAATCATTACATGGTATGAAATTGGAGCATTAGGAAAGAATCTGCCCTTGAAATAAAGAAAAACAGAGTCTGTGTTATATTACCAATCGTCCACATTAGAATCCACACAACCCACGCAAACAAAAGATTACAACTAAATACAAGGCACAGCCGCCGTTGCTTAACAATCTGTTACTCTTTCAATTACTTGTTCTTCTGTGGTGCTACACTTGGGTTTGGGAAACGCCACAACCAGACACAGAGCAGGCACACGGGTCATGCGCTCACTGTAAACGCCACGCAAGCAGGGATTTGTGCCTGGGTTGTGCACTGATGCATCCTCAGTGCCGAAAATGGCGCCTGGTACACAGTAAGCGCAGGATAATAAATGTGTTTGTCACACACAAGGTCCTCCTTCCTTTCATTATTCTGCTGAGAGTGGACAAGCTACATTCTTTTAGAATTTTTATTGACTTGTCTTCATATCACTAACCTGCCTCTATAAAAAGTGGTAAACCACAATAATTTAACCAAGGGCAGCCCTAATAAACGGGAGTCATTTTGAGTGACAGTAAACAGCCAACCCAAATACTTCAGATCTGCTTGTCACCTTCATCTGGATCAATCAGAAGTCACATTTCCTCTTATTTTTAAGAATACTAAACAAATAAACTAAAGGACTATAGGACTGCTCTTTTTATACTGTTAGAGTACTTCAAAAAATGGAGGACAATATTTACATTAATTTATAAAGTGGGATTAAAAATACATGAAAAAGGAGCTATTGATAAACATGTCTCTCTGTATTTCTTCCTTTTAAAACTCCAAGCCGTGTGGTCTGCCTCCTGCCCACATCAAAGCAAGCCCACAGACTCAGGGCAAGAGCATGGGGTTTGCTCAGTATCTCTCTTCCCGTGCTGAAACACATCTCACAAAAATGCTCTTTGGACCAGCAACAAACTTAGAAAACCAGAAACAGAACAGGAAGATAAACCCACAAGAGAAAAGAACCATGACGAGGCTACACCCTCTCCTAGCTTTCTCTAAAAACATTTTTCTTACCGGATGAACACAGTAAGTCAAAGAGCTCTATTTATAATGCATCGGTCTGGTGGTGGCACAGATGGATCAGTAAACAAACTCTGTTCTTTGGGAAGACATGAGCCTATAATTTGTCATGTAGGCTTTTAGAACAGCATGTCTGGCACAGAAAATATTGAAATGAAAGGATGGATAAATCTGTGAGCAAATGAAAAATTTTAAAGTAATTCAAGAGGAAGGATAATGTGTAAGCAGGAGCCCAGGAGTGTAGCTCAGTGGTGTTGCACTTACTGGCCAGGTACAAGGTCCTGAGTTCAGTGTCTGGTTAAAAATAAAAGGATAATGTATAAACAGGCTCGATTCTCATTATTCTTATACTATCTATCTTTTTCTTCTAGTCATCTACGTCAGAATTTACGCTTAAAAGGAGAGGAATAGGGGCCAGGGATTTGGCTCAGTGGCTCTGCTGCCTGCCTCTCAAGTGCATGAGTCCCAGCTTTATCCCGGCACTAAAATAAATAAATACATAAATAATAAACAAATAAACAAAATGAAAAGAGAGGAATAATTGAAAGGTACTAAGCCTCACTTGAGAAATTCCCATTGTAAAAGTCAAGGCATTATTCTGGCAAAGAAAAGAATAAATCCAGAGACAAAGAAAAAATGGAGCCCGAGTGTGGTGGTGCATACCTGTAATCCAGGTACTGGAAGGCTGAGGCAGGAGGATCACAAGTTCAAGGATGGCCTGGACAACTCAGAGAGATCCTGTCTCATGATAAATATACATTAAAGGACTGCAGAGTTACTCAGTGTTTCCAGGGTTCAATCCTTAGTGCAGGGGAGGAAAAAGTGTGTCTGCACAGGTACGCTCGAGGGAGTTTTGAGGAGTGGGAGGAAGCCATGGGGTCACCCAGCATGCTGTGATTTATTCAGTTTTGCTACAAGTTATCAGCGAAACCCCTGTGCAATTTCTTAGGAGCTGTAGTAAGGATTGAAAATACCTTCCATTTGTATCTAGATGTCATTTATTCCACAAACATTTATTCAAAAAGGCAGCTTCTTAGGACTGTGTTTGTATAGGCAGCCTTGGGAGAGACAGGCCTTATGGTGAATTAGGAAAGCTCAGCTTTATGTAGGTTACTAAATAAAACAAAGCAAAAACAGACCCAGAAGGAGATAATCACATTCCCTCATGTTTGTATTCTGTTCTTTGAGGACAACCGTATATAGAAAATGGGACACAGTCATTATAGTAAACAGCATGACGTTTCCTTAAAAAGTTAAAAATATCAACCCCAGTTCTGGATGGATGGATACATATATGTACCCAAAGGAAATGAAATCAGTATGTCAAAGACAGGGCTCACTTCTGTGTTCGTGGCAGCAGCACACACGATAGCTAGGATACGGAATCTGCCAAAGTGTCTTTCAGGGCCACATCTACACAACAGAATACTAGATGAAACTGGAGGACATTATGCTAAGTGAAACAAGCCGGGCACACAGACAAATTCTGCATGCTCTCATTGCATGTGGAATTAAAAATGTCAATTTTATAGAAGCTGACAGTGGACAAGTGCCACCAACAAGGTTTGGGAGAAATAAGAGAAGATGGTCAAGGGGTATACAGCTTCAGCTACACAGGATGAATAAGGACGCAAGATCTATTGCACACTGTGGTGACTATGATTAATAACGATCTTCTATCCCTGAGAATTGTTGGAAAGTAAGTTCTAAATGGAAATTATAAATTTATAACAAATTATAAATGTCCTCACTGCAAAAAGTATCAGGTGTGTGAGAGGATGGATGTCAATTACTTGATTTGACCATTTCACAATGTGCAGATACATCAAAATGTCAGCTGGTGAACCGTAAGTATGTACAAGGTGTTCTCATTTCCAGCAGATGAACTTCTGGAGTTCAGCAGCTTACCTAGGAGGCCTGCTGTTCCCTGAGCCGCTTTTTCCCGTAGCTGGTCATGACACTCTTTTGTTCTCCTCTAAAGGTTACAGTAAAGAACTCTCAGGCCTCATGAATCTCTCATGAGTTGTGATTCAGTGCAAACAAATTCCAACCACCACGTGCCTGAGAAATGTCTTCCACCTAAATGCACAGGAATCAAAACTGCCAACAACAGTAACCCAAGGCCACTTCCATTACGAATTTGGCCTTTGCCTAAAAAAAAAAAATTACTACAGTGCTCCCTAGATAATGACTCACATAAGATGTTCTCCATGGTTAACAATGGGATTTGTCTTGCAGCTGCTGCCAGGAAGCATGGGGCTGACCATAGCCAACAAGACCCGGACGGAGCTCTGGTCTCCAAACAGAGTACGGCACAGCTCATTCCTCTGGCTCTTCCAGGAGAAACTGAATGATGAGTGTGTGGCTGTCTTTTTGGAACAATCTGCTCTAGGCTTTCAGATCCTCTCTCCTGATTACTGGCTGACCTGTATATATTTTGGCAATGCTAGTGCCCTACGGGGCCTGATGGCTTGCCAGGCACTTAAGGGCCTCGGTTCAGATGAACTTTCAAAAAGCCAAGATAAGTAGACTAACTTCCTACAAAAGTATTTTCTTCTGATCTTTGAAATGTTAAAGGGGCCACGTCAGTGGGTTATTTTGAGCAAGGAAAGGGTGCCTCATAAAGGCTGCCATTGTAAACAACCAACCTCCCAGCCAGTCATCTCAGCCGGGGACACACAGCTTCCTGACAGAAGCAGTGACCTGCACGGTGAGGTTGAGGGCCAGGGCAGATGAACTCAGAAAAGTACATTTCTGTGTAAGTTATGCATGGGGTTATTACAAAGATCCAATATGACAACGTACAGAAAATTCCCAGTGTCATCCCCGGCAATGCCCACCATGGTTACTGCAGAAACACATCCTACCTGTTTCTTAGACTGAATGAAGAGATATAAAAGAAAAATAATGTTTCGGTCTTCTTCTCGTGTATCTTTAATTTTGGACCACAGTATTTCAAAAGTATTATAATACTGTGCAGGATACTTGAAATTTTATATGTTCTTGTAATAAAACATCTCGTTAGCAACAAACCAATGGGAAGGGGAAAGCAAACCTATTAAATGCTTAACTGGACTTCTTCAGCAGATGTGTAATTCCCCAGTTAGAGAACGAAAGGAGCCCTGGGTATCATTGTAAAACAAGGAGATTTAGATAGAGAGGTCTGAGAGGCTGCAGGGTCCTGCATGAAGAAAAGCAGCTGCTCGGGATCCCTGCACCCACCTTGTGGATTCCAACACTGACACGACGCTAATTCGCCCTTCAGTGGTAGGGGAAAGGGAAATGAGGCAATAAACACCATCGCCAAGGGCTTCGGCTCCCTCTGTGGCTTTGAGTCCTCACAGCGGCCTTGCAGCACAGGCGTTATCAGCACTACTTTGCATATACGGAAATTTAGGCCAATAAAACCTCAAGGTTGCCGGGCATGGTGGCACACGCCTGTAATCCCAGCACTTGGGAGGCTGAGGCAGGGGGATTGTTGAGAGTTCGAGACCAGCTTGGGATACATAGTGAGTTCCAGGTCAGTCTCAGCTATACAGTGAGACCCTGTCTCAAAAAGCCTTAAGGTCAGTGGCGAGCCAAGATGGAGCTTGGAGCCAGGTGTCACCTAAGGACCAGCCCTGGCCCTTTCCACGTGCCCAGCGCCCTTCAGACACTGAGTGTGCGCCAGGCCTACCAGTGAAGACAAATCACTTGTTCTTCCGCTGAGCAGAAGCTGAACAGCCGGAGGATGAAAGCCACTCCTCACATACCTGTGGCGGAGTCGATGGAGAACGCGGGTGTCAGGTGTCCAGGGCTGAGCTCATAAGCCACGGTCCCGTACATCCCGGCGTCTCTGTCCGTGGCCAGAACCTTGATGATCTCGGCACCCGGCTGGGTCTGGCCGCTGATGCTTCTCACGTAGGTTGACGGGTTAAACACCGGATGATTATCATTCACATCCTCCAGGTCCACACGGACAAAAGCTTGGGCGCTGAGCCCGCCCTGCAGGACGGAGGAACAGTGATTACGGGCGGGGCAGAGAGTAACGGAGAAAGGTCCCAGAACTGGCTTCTGAGACCACAAATACATCTGTATATTCACAGAGCCACACCCACACAGCCACACCCCTAGCATTCATTTTCCATTTTCCTTTACATCCAAGCTCCTAAACTTCAGAATCTGTATGTCCGTGCTGATCTTCAACATGGATGAGATTTCCCCTAAAAGAGGAAAGATTTAAGAGCAGAGGCCAGAGACATTTTTAAGTGAATCGGCTGCAGTGAGGAATAGGGGGGTTGGCTGGGAAAGCCTGAGCAGATTTTGGTGTAGACAGACCTACAGGAAGGGGCTAGGCTAAATTATCTGGAAGAAGAGATTCACCAGCAGCAGAGAGGGTGGAGAGGAAGGCCCCAGGTAGGAGCACAGGAGACCCCAGCTAGGAGAATGCGCCATGGCTTGCTCAGGGGCAGCGAGGAAGACAGCAGAGCCTGCATCACCGGCCAGGGCGCATTACGGAGGCCTTGGCCGGCCTCTCAGAGCCCAAGGCTCCTCCTCACCAGAGCGTTCTGAGCACGGGAAGGGCTGGACTGCACAGTGAGTGCAACTTTCTGAGGTGCTCTGAATGCAGTGCTCAGAACCCACTGCGAGCCCGCCAGCGAGGACAGAAGTGGGCTCAGGGAGGAGGACCCTGGAATCATTGAGTCAAGAGGGCAGCAGCCTGAACAGGGACAGCAGCAGTGAGGGAACGGACCCTTCCTCCCTGAAGTGGCACGGAACTTATCCTCCATCCTGGGGGCGAGGACTGTTTCAGAATTCTACATTTTTCAGGCCTTATAAATGTAAGGGAGTGCACCGAGAAGTGAGAAACAGACCTCAGACTAGTTATTTTGTGTTGCCTCCACCTAAAAACAAAAAGAAGGAACCAATAAAATAAAAGAAAATCATTCCTGCAATTTTTCCTTTGCTAAAGTAAAACATATGTTCCTGTTTTGGGGCACCCGTTTCCACTTCTATCTGGTTCATTTTGACACTTCCAGCTTTGACAAAGACCCTTGGGCAGTCAAAGCGGCCTGGGTTTCCTCCCTTTCCCTCCCCCGCCTCCCCTTTTCCCTTTTCTCTTTGTTCCCTTTTGTACTGTCACGGAGTGAGAAGGCCAAAGAAGGCAGGGAGACGGGCTGGCAGGAGACAAGGGAGAGCCGGGGCTGTGCACACAGAGACGCAGGAGGAGGGGCCGGGGGCGAGAAGGACCTTGTCGGGGTGACGTTAATGACAGTCGGGCAAAGGCTCTCACACTGCAAGGTTTCATGAACAGACTATGTTTTCAGAGACTAAAAATGAATGAAGAAAGTCACCTCTAGAAATACTGTCATTTCCCACATTCTGAGTTGAATGAAGTGCTGGTTGCTAATAGAATAGGAGAAATGAAGGCTTGTTATAATTGTAATAACAGCAATGGCCGTTCGTACACCGACCGGGCCCATGTGTGACAGTGCAGGTGGCCCGCATCCTCCTCAGGATGAGAGGCCTGCAGGCGTCCGGGTCGGGGCACACGGGCTGTGAGCTCACAGATGATCCCGTACAGCACCACGTCCTCCAGGGAGCTGCTGCCGCCCAAACCCCCGCCTTCTCGGCTTGGCTTTCTCTCGTGCTTTTCCTTTCCCTCCTCCTTACATTTCTCCTCAAGTTCAAGCAGTCACCTGGTTGAAAGTGGGCTCAGAAATCAGGTAAGAGACAACAAGAAATAGACGCTGCCTCACTGCGACATGCTTATGAATAAGAGCCGGGTCTCGTGAAGAAGCCGAGTCAGGTGACGCTCTGCAAACAAGCAGGAACACAGTCTCCGTCGCAGAACACTGCCTCCTGCAGGAGCAGCTTTAGAGAGCTCAGTCTGCCCCTTGGTACATTCATTCTTTACCTGCTGAATTTATCACGGGGCGGCTTTCCTCTTATGAAAACCATTTATGGAATGCTTAAGTCATTTTATACATCTGTTCAGTTGTATTTGCCCTCGGTAAGAGTTGTAGGCTCTCCTATCACAGATAAGAAACCAAGGCACAGAGGGGCAGAGGGCTGACTTGCTCTGGAAAATGAGCTTGTAACAGCCCATCTACACATAGTGCAAAGACCTGTCTGTCCTCAAAGCCCTCGGTGACATTTTAAAGCTTTAAAACTGTGTTGTGCTACACATCCTTTCATATGAGAAGGACTGTAGGAGAGACAGTGCCTGCTGTGCACTCAGTCCCGGGGAACAAGACACGCCCTGCGTTTTTCAGGGGGCTCAGGCTATGAGCAAGGTGAGCTAGTCCAGGTCTGGGGCACAGTGGCACAATCACAGCAAAAGCTCAGCACCAGCTCTGCCAAAGTTCCAATGCTTCCTTCCCAAATCTTCATGTGAGACACCACAGCTGCCTCTAGTGAGGCGATGTGATCAAATCCAGATTTTAGAAAGGGGATACCTGAGAAGCGAGCAAGACATATGTCTGAACACGAGACAAATGAAAGAGGCTTCTCCATGAAAATGGGGGAAATGCCAAACTCACCGAGTCCTGTGGCTCCTTCGGTTCAGAACTTACAAAGCCTGTGGTATGTGTGTTTCTCGCAGGGGTGAATGCTGAGGGATTTCCCAGTGTGGGAAAAACCTGGTCCCAGTGGATGAGAGCCACCCAACCAAGAGAGGAGGTGCTGAGATCAGCAAATGAGGATGACCGATCCAAGACTGCACAGAATGACATTTACGGGGGACTTACAGGCGGAAGTGTTTCAAATGGCAGAAAGGCAGGTGGGTCACTGCACTCCAAAGAAAAAGGACGGGCTTATATGCTAACCTAGACAGAGGTGGGCGGCAGCCAGCAGAAAGCACCTGGGCTTTCTCAAGAACTAGTAACAGGTCCAGTGTTGGCTCAGAATTATGTCGTCCAGGCGCATTGGTCATGATAATCTTTAATGACTTCATCTTCCAGGGCTTAGAGTTATGTCAGCACAGGAAGGCCGCACGCCTGTGCAGCTGGCGCGCTCTGCTCACTGTTTTGGTACCACAGTGCCCTCTCCGGAAGGAGCATGCTGGAGCAACCAGGATTCCACAGGACACAGCACCAGGGGAGCTGACCCACACTCCTTCCCTCCCCTCCCAAGCCTGTGTCAGCCTCTGCCTGTCCGTGGAAACTTCTACTGATGCAGCCTCGTGACAGACACAGCCAGAGCCACCCAGGGGAGCCACTTCCGGATTCCCTGACTCTACGAACCATGCAGGAAAAGAAACTATTTTAAGCTGCTAAACCCAGGAATAACTTGATATGTAGCGAGAAGTAATTAATATATCCCATAAAGGCATGCATTAGCAGGATTTTTTTAATAGCAAACATTTATTGATACATTGTAGGCACACATAATGGTAACACTCATCACAGGGAATTTGCACCTTATTCTTTTTTTTTTTCTACTAATAAAACATGGGTTACTTTGATGTAAGTTTTTAAACTATGCGAAGAAATTCCTAAACAGTCTACCTGAATCCCAGTCGCTCCAGCTCCCTGTGGAAGAGCTCCAAGCTTTGAAACATACCCTATCCAAGGCTTGAAGGTCTCCGGGCAGTTGGGAGGAAGGGAGACTCACCTGCTGTGTTTCCTACTCCGGCAATCATCTGCTTCCTATCTTTTTGTCCTTGCTTCCTTGGACTCCAGAACAGCAGAATTCAATATCTATCCCCCTTCACATCTCTCAGCTCCTGTGAGCTATGGTCTGCATTCTAGTGAGTTTTCTATCATCCCTGTACCCCAGTCCAGATTTCATGAACAAAGGGACGAGAAACGAGAGTCCAGTTTGTCAAAGAAAAAACAGCAGGCGGGGTGTCACCAAAGCCCAGGTAACTGTGTTCCAAGAATTTTTTAATTCCATGAACACTCGGACAAAATGAAAATAATAATCTCAGGATGTGACAGGATTCTAATCAGCATAATAGCTTTACTAGGAAGGGAGGGAGGGAAGAATGCATCAAAGAAGCTCAAAGAGTAAACAGGTATTTTAAGTAGATTTGCTGCGAAGGACAGAAAAGGAATAATATGCTTTTCTAAGAAGGTGTATGCACTTACAGGGAGTTCTTTTTCTTAAGATAGAGACTATTGTTATGCCTGTATGGTACAGAATACGAGAAACTGATGATGCAGAAAGAAACATCGGTACAACAGAGATATCCTGGGGAGGGTTGGCATGGAGGAACCCTGAACAATAGAGGATCTGCTCCTGATTCACCTCTACAATGACAACAGGGAAGCAGGCAAGAAATGTGAGCTTAGGGCAGACCTGGAGGGCTACAGAGGGAACAAGCAGACTCACTCGTCCTCCCCAGGCAGTGCATCAGGTTTCCACAGAGCTGGGCTTCTGCCAACAGACTTCCGGGAAAGGAAGTCTGCAATTGAACGACCTTAGTGATGGGAAATCAATCAGTGATCTTAACACGGGAGAAGAATTATCAAGCCGAGTGGAAGTGTGCCAGCGAGGCTGGGACAGAAAGATAGAAATGCTTCCTGGAGGAGGGCACGCTTGAAATCAAGATTTCAGGGAGTGCAATCACGGCTGATGATCCTTGAAGCAAGAAAGTCAAGAAACTGAGATTGGATGTTGTGTATTTTGAAGTCTCAGGGAACTGTGAGGAAGCAGTTGTTGCTGTGGGTACCGAATGTCCTCCAAAGGGCCCCTGGGAGGCGGTGTGGATCATGAGGTGAGGGGCCTTGTGGGAGGTTTCGAGGTCACTAGAGACCACCCTTGAAGTGGGCCATGGGACCTCGGCCGCTTCTTTTGTGATTCTTGGTTTACCGGGCGAGCAGTTTGCTGGCACCATGATGTGCTGCCTTCCTGGAGCCTCACAGCAGAGGGGCCTCTTGTTCATGGACTGAAACCTTCAGAACCACGAACCAAAAGAAAGGTTTTCTCTTTACAAGTTAATCATCCCGGATATTTTGTTACAGAGGCAAGGCTACTGCAGTAGTGAAGAGGAAGATCGTGAG